GATAGATAGATAGATAGATAGATAGATAGATAGATAGATAGATAGATTCAGAATCAGTGGGAACGTTTTTATTGCTACACTTTTTCTGGACTGTGATCTTCCAGCGTGTCCCGCTGCAATGCCTTCTGGGATATGTAGGTACTACCGGCTGTTTCTTCGTTAGTTAAACTAGTGACTCTGGAAGCGGAAAAACTACAACTAAATTGTCCGGTCGGACTAAAAGAAGGCACGATAGGTGTCTTTTTCCGTCTGCCAGCAGGCAGCCAAAATGTTGGCTATCCTGTCTGTGCTGTTTGTTATCTCTTTTAGTCCTGTCTTCTGCGTTTTTCAGAAACTTTACTGCACGATATCAGACAGCTGCGAATGCGACTTTAAGCCAAATATCAGAGGTAAGCTTGTTTTAAGCTAGTTCAACGTCTAACAGTTAGCCGGCTAAGCCGGCTAGCTTAGCAGCAAGTTAACGTGTAGGCAGTTACCTTTACAGTGGTTTAAAAATTAGAAATGTAAAAATACTTTCCTTTACTGACTATTAAAGATAGGTACTTATTGAGTCGTTGCTACACCTGAGTAGTGAAATAATGATGATACAGCAGATACAGGCTGCTTTTGGAGTTGTTATGCTACCTGGGAATCAGGAAGCTACATCAGTTTGATGTAAAAAAAAAAAAAAAAAAAAAGAATTGGTGGCAACAGATGTTTAAATTAATATTTTAAGTAGGGAAATGTTCTGCATATGTTTGTAATTTCTGCTAAAAACAACATGCAATGTGTGATACTATTCATCTTAACTGTGTGCTGTAAATCTATCCTCCAAAAACATGCTAATTGAAAATTAAGAGGTAAACAGAGCAACTAGAGGCTTTATTAGAGTTTTTAGATCTAACCAGAGGTGGTGGACTCACGCAAGAGTATTGTTGCTTTGAATAATATTACACAAGAGAAATGAAAAATGAATCGTCTTGATGGGAAAGGCACTGACAAACTGCTGATTTATTGAAAACAGCTAACTAAATGCTTCTCAAAAAATAAAGGTCCCAATGTTTCCCAATGTGGGCAAGGTAAAGATAAAAAGGGGTACAAATTTAAAAAAATTAACAGACTTTTTGTGTCAGTGATTGAGCCGATTGCTCACTATTGGTTATAATTACAAATACGGTGTAGGATAAAGAACGGATTTAAACAGCCAGAACACATTTTAAGTTATATTTACAAAGTAGTTAGAGTGCGGTAGGGATTTTACATGAACATGAAGATCAGAGGATACATTTCTTCAAATAAGACCAAAATATAACACATGGTACAAATTAAAATATTGCAAAAATACAAAAAAAGTACATTAGACTTGTTTAATATAATTTTTGTCAGGTAAACGAGGACTAGGAACTTGACTTACTGAAGTGGGTTTGTGTTTTGTTCATGTTCTTCTTATGGAGCACTTTTCCTTTATAACAAAAGGGCAGTTAATGAGAAATTCCCTGTTACAGTACAGTATCCCTATTTTTATTTCCTAATGAGCAGATTTGGAGTGGGACCTCTATAAGAACGTCTTTGGTCAGCATCTGGCTCAGGACATCGTGTCCGAGGAGGTGGCAAAGTTCCTCCTTAACAAAAGCCCCGATCAGCCCCTGGTGCTGTCTTTCCATGGCTCCTCGGGGACAGGAAAGACACTGGTCAGCTCCATGCTGGGGAACCACCTTTACGGCTCAGCCATGAGCAGCCCCTACGTCCACCAGTTTGTGCCCACGCTCCACTTCCCTCTGCCCAAGCAGGTCCAGAACTACAGGGTGAGTCAGGGGCTCCCTGAGGCTCGGTTTCCTTCAGCACAGATTGAAATCAATCCTCAGTTTAGCTGAGCAGCAGGACTGAGTGTCTTTCATTGGGTTTGCAGAATGAGCTGAAGAGCTGGGTGCAGGGAAACCTGACGGAGTGCGCTCGCTCTGTCTTCATCTTTGACGAGATGGAGAAGATGCCTCCAGGCCTGATTGACGTGCTTGAGCCATTCCTGGGACCCTCCCATGTTGTGTTTCGTACCAACTACCGCAAGGCCCTCTATATCTTCATCAGGTAGGAAACACCCCCTCTGGACTCAAGCATGTTGACACAATAATTAAACATTTGTCTATAATTTAAGCCTTGAGGATAAAAGATCCCCTTTAACAGACATGCAATGTTCCATTTTAAGAAGTTGGCGCCATATCTTGAGGTCGTATTTGAATGTAACAGACATGTTTTGATCTGATATGTGCCACTTTAACTCTTGAGGCATTTTGTACTCTTAAATCTTTTATTTTCAAGATCTTTTTTGGCTGAATAAAGTTGCAATTAGCCCGAGGATATTCATTTTTAGTGGTCGAAACAGGGTCTCCGCACACTAAGGACAAAAAATACAATAGTGGGGGGGCTGGGGCTGAATCCTGGCCACAAAAAACACCACATCACAGCCATCAGGGAAATTTCCACATTCTTGATGTTTAAGCTGCCCACACGTCTTCTTCTAGTGTCCAAACGCACGCTGACAAAAAATGCATCCAGCCCATAATCTGTAAACATGGTACATTTGTATTTTTGTTCCTTTAATAAGGAGAACAGTCTCTTTATTTTAATCTTTTACACCACTACCTAAACAACGCAAACCCTCATTTATCTCAGCACCATTTAAAGGAAAGTGTGGGTGGTGCTCACTGTTGTCTCGTCTGTCTGCTGCGCAGCACCACGGGGGAAGAGGTGATAAACCAGGTGGCTCTGGAGAACCGGCAGGCCGGACGGGAAAGAGAGGAGATTAAGTTGGCCGACCTGGAGGAAGCCATCGAGCAAGCAATTTACGACAACAGCACAAGTAAGAGAGCGCTGACTAGTAAGACGTAGAGGCCTTTCTCTACTAAGAAGTTTCACAGATTCAGACATGTGATTTGGTAATGACATAAAGGGGCGTTCAAACATTAAAAACTCTAATTAGCACACCTGGTTTTTGTTGCTCACAAAATAACCCCATTGATTTCCTTTTTTTTTTTAAATGAAATTTTTTTTTTTTGTGCATATGTTCGTTTTTGAGATTTTCGAGGTTTGTAATTGATAAAAAAAAACGTTGCCTAATTTCTATAAACCAATGAGTTCACTTTGGCGTGTTCAATGCAAGTGATTCTGATTGATTTAATTCATCTGTATGTTCTGCTTGGGGTAAAATTATACCAGAAACAAACAAAATTACCACAAAAAGAAGAAAAGTAACCCAAAATAAATTCTGTAGACATTAAACTACCAGCAAAAGACACAGTAAATCTACAAAACGGCATAAAACAATCACAAAGAGACCTTCAGAAACCAAGAACTGACGGAAAGTCTCCATATTGTAACAACCTCAGTAGTCTATAAGTGGAAGCTTTCATAGAGAAGGGGATGACGTCAAAGACATGATGGCTGCAAATAACAGCCATAAAACAATTTGTAGACTTTACAGAGGATTCTGCCAATCAAAAGGAACATCGGACCATGTGAAACAAAACTGGGAAAGAAGGGGAATTAAACAGTTTTCTGAACTGGAGTGGATATCAATCTGGAGGTGCAGTGGAAAACCTCCAACTCCATGATATAGAGGGAGTTCTGCTGAAAGAATTTAAAAGACTATTCTTAAACTCCTGTCTTAGAAAAACATTTTACTGAATCAACCTGTCGGAGGCAGTGCAGAGAAGAATAAGCAAACCGTCACCACATATTATGGGCTGGCCCTCTGATTAGACCATTTTGGAGTCCGTAACCTTTTTAAAAAGCAGTTCCGACTGGACAAACCATTTCAGCTGGAATCAGTATATCTAAGTTTGCTGCTAGGTGGTAATGTTACATGTAAAACTAAATATTTGTTCAAATTATGAGTGCGGCAGCCAGGAAAGCCATTACCAATAAATGGCTCCGCCCCCAAATCCCAATGCTAAATGAGTGGTTTGATGTCATATATTACATTTTCAAGCTAGAGAGAATAACATTTAATATCAGACTGAAACAAGACAAATTTGAAGAAAAATGGAGCATATGGTTTGAGTTTATCGCAAATGTACACAGATGTACATCAAAGGCACATTTAAGTGTCTTTTGAACTAAGAAAAACTTTGAAAAGAAAGAATTGACAAAAGAAAGAAATCAGACATGATAGCCCTCCCTCATCCTGGCTCTGACTGTGTCTGCTAGAGGGAACTGATGTGGTTTCTGTCTCCAGGCGGCTTCTTCCAGTCGGCCATCGTCCAGCAGAAGCTGGTCACTCGCTTCGTTCCCTTCCTGCCGCTGAGCCGGGTGCACGTGGAGCGCTGTGCGCGCTCGCAGCTCTGCCAGCGGGGCAGCTGCAGCCGGACCGACGTGGCGGCGGCGGTGGGCGCGGACATGACCTACAGCCCCGTCCAGGGCCGCTTCTTCTCCACTACCGGCTGCAAAGCCGTCTCTGCCAAGATCTCCTTTTTCCTCTGAGCCCAGCCCACAGCCGCGCAGCCTCGGCTTCTTTTTATGATTTAAGAGGACTTTTTATGTCTTTATGTGACAAACGGTGGAAGAAGCTCAGATGATGGGGAGATGGTGTGCAGCCCCCCGTCTGAGGGGAGGCCCCACAGGAGTTCATTATGGCGCCTGCGTCTGCAGTCCAGGAGATCTGAACCCAAACTGCTCTGGATCAGCTGCTCTCTGGGTTTATTTGGTGGATGGATCAGGACTCGTGTTGCTCGCTGCATCGGACGCAGCTTTGATTTTAATTCAAGGCGGTCAGATCAGTCTGGCCACCGGCCACTCCACACAGCTGTTTGCTTGTTTTACGGCCCGTTATTTATCGGGTCTTATTTATTTTTGCTTTACAAACCGAGGACATTGGCCTCCAGGGCATATTGCCCTTAGAGCAGCCAGACATGTGGTGCCTTTGCTCGTTAGTCAACAAGAGGTAACGTGTTGCTAAAAGTGATCTGACTTTCAGTTATTTCCTTTTAATATGTGAGTGTTTTAAATGGAGGAAGTATTTATTTGCCAAATGAGCCTTTGTGCAATTGCAGCATTTGCTGATCGGCTTTTGAAATCATAGATGAAAATGTATCTCTCTCTGAAGAGCATTGGATTGGATCGTGAACATAATTATTGAACCAATTTCTGATCTAATTAACTGCTCGAAAGAATATAACTTGTCATATAAATAATTGGTTTATATATTTGTATTAGTGGTTTATATCAGCCTTAAGCCACCAATCGAAGTCATTTATGTAGAGAAATGAGAAGCAGTAGACGAATTTAACTTGAAAACATTCAGCTTTTTGCTGCCCGTTCAGCTTTGTGGGATATTTGTGGTGCACGTCTCCAATTCTGCCCTGCGATGGACTGGTAGGACCGTCCAGGGTGTACCCCGCCTCTCGCCCATTGACCACTGGGGTAGGCTCCAGTTCCCCCCGCAACCCCATCAGGGAATAAGCGTTTACCATAATGGATGGATGGTCTCCAATTCTGCCAGCAGGTGGCAGCAGAGACTTCAATATGCCAACGGTGGAAGAAGAGACTTGAGTTTTTATCTCCCCAACCATCATGAGAGAAACTTCAGGACTAAACTCATCATCAGTGTGTTTTTTTGTTTTTTAAACACTCCAAGTGCACTTCCATGGTACAAAACAGACAGTAGCGCCTCTGTGTGCACATAAACATTTAGGAAACATTGCCACTTGTTATATTGTTTACACGCAATTGCTGACAGTAAAACAGATTATTTAATTCAATTATTATTTTTTTTTTTTTTTTTATTGATTCGGTAACATCCAAGTTTGCAGAGTTCACAAGTGCAGAGCACATCAGTCAATTCTTCCTGGAAGGGAAAATACTACAGCAATGTTTAGGATCAAGAACCTCTCTGCAGCGAACCATAAGTTTTTCTATTGATTCGTCTTCATCTAGTTTTCCTTTTATGCACTGTCAGCAACTTAATCTGTCATCGTAGCACAGAGAGTTGAACACGCTTTCAGTAGAAGGTGTCATTTTGTCCATTTTCCAAAAAAACTACACTTCATGTACTAAACTCATGTTGATTTGATGTTTTTGTGCTTGAAAAAGTTTTGTGTGCTGAGATTTCTATTCTATTGCACAATACAAATGAAGTTATTTTCATTTGGAGAATGCTGGTATCGTTTACATTCTAATAACAAGACGACAAAAAGCAGATTATCTTGGCAGCAGTGTTGATAGTTGGAGCTCTTATGTCAGAACTGGTTCTGGAGCTATTTACAGTGTTAGTTCATTTAGGGTCCAGCAGAGTAGTAGAGACTAAAAACACATTAACTCAAAACCCAGTTCCTTAGTCTTTTGATCACTGGGTGGCAATTTTAATTGCTTTCAAGTGTGTTTTTTAGAATTTTGTTTCTATAAATCTCCACCTGTACTTGAGGGAGAGCGCTGAACTGTGACAGAAAGTTTCACAGATCTGGTTTGGCAAGAAATTAATAGTTTGGCTCCTGGTGATTAAGAGGTTCAAGATCTCTATGATTGTTCACCAGACTTTTTATGGCCCTTCAGTTAATGAAGAATGGTATATTTACAATGGATATGACCATTGTCATGAGACACGTTAGTCAGTTTCATTTACACACAGAATGGTAAAATATGACTTATTTGAAATTAATCAAATGAATGAAAATATGTTAATGCTCATTTAACTATATTTGTCAAATTGTCAGTCTTTATATATGTATGTGCAATAAAAAGATGTCTTAAATTCCAAACAAATATAAGCTAAAAACAACTTGCTAGGTATGCAGCTGAAGTGCTTTTTAGCTAACTGCTACATTAACTTGTGAAAAATCATCTGTTTTTCATTTTTAAAAATCTTTCATATCCAAATTAGGTCCGCAATAAGCTATTCCATCCCAAAATATTTGTCAGGGCTGTGTAGTTGTATTATGATTCAATGTTTCAATCCAAATGATCTACAGTCTCTTTCTAACAAGGCTAAATTGTTTCCTCAGTCTCCCTTTAAGAATCCCCAAACTTTTGTTTCCTGTAAAAAGGTCCAAATCCTGTTTCTTTTCTCTGCTGGATCCTGTAGACCAGTCAGCAAACACCCCATCCGACCTCAGTGTGTTGCTCGGTGGGCAATAATTTGGAAACAACCTTGGATTGTGTAGCCTGGACTCCTATATATGCCACATCTCAACACGATCCTCCTTTGATGACTTCATCAAGTCTCAGCCCCCCCCCCCCCCCCCCCCCCCCCCCCCCCCCACTACAACCACCACCACCACCCACCCCTCCATCCCGCCATGTGAGGAAGAGGAGGGAGTTCAAAGGTCAGCTCAGAGGCCTCCTCACCCCAGCTGCTGTTGCTTTGTGTCGCCATCTCTGAGTTTTGGACAATGAGGCACGCAAACATAAAATATTCCAGGATGACCGCCCCACACACACCTCTTATGACCTCTCGGCTCGTTTTCACACGCTCTCGGCTGAACAGGTGCCCCGGCCACTTTTTCCAGTTATTTTTTAGGAAGTGGTGAGAAAACATAACGGAAGTTAGTGGCTTTATTCTCCCACCTTCTTCTTGTTGTTTATTTTTCTCTTCTTTAATATCTTTGATGAGAATCCTGGTGTAAAAACACGCTTTTGACTCCAAGCTTTTCCTCTCCAGCCTTCCCTGCTTATTCCCTGCCGATCGGAGGTGTTGGAGAGAAGGGGGGGCGGGCGGGGGGGGGGGGGGGCAAAAAGGGGACGCTGCTCCTTTCTCCCCCCTCCCCAGCTAACTCCACATCTGTGAGTGCCCCTCTGTCTCCTCATTCTTCTCCCTAACCGCTCCATTATTGAGGCTCTTTCACTTGTAAATGTGGCCAGCGATACTTCTGATGGGTCTTTTATGCATGCGGCCGGGGTCAGGAGGAAGGTAGGGGCTGGGAGGAGGAGGAGGAAAAGGGGAAAGGATGGTGTGGCGAGTGGGTGGGTCACGTCTGAGGGTTGAGCAAGGGGGGGCGAGCTGTTTTAGGGGTCCTGTGCTGTTTTTTTTAGCAGGCCAGAGTGTGAGAGGACAACTGTGACAAAGAGTTAAATCCTTTTTTGTGTGTGCAGTCATTCGGGACGGACCCAGCTCTCGCTTTGCATTCCTGCAGCTGGCCGTCCTCCAGCGGGACGGAGGGGACGGGGCAGACTCACCATGTGGACTTAACACCATCACAGTCACAAATTGAATGTTTAAAGAGGCTTTAGCATAGCCCCGCGACTCCACTGCCTCAGGTGTGTGTACAGTGGGCTCATACTCTGTGTTTGTAAACCACATCAGTTCTGATATCTAGATCATATTACAAAGTCAACCTGTTCTGTTTGTCCAATAATTGCACACACAAAAGTTATATTTAATATTTTCAGACACACACAGGCACATGCATATATACATATATTCATATATATCTATATCTATAAAGTTCTTTGAATATATTGAATATCATACTTGAAATTGGAGAAAAGTTGCAAATGTTGAGGGAAAAACTATGACCGAGCTTCAGAAATCTGAAGAAATATTGCTTAGCTCTGAGCTCTGAATGTTTCAGGAAGAAAACAGGCCCCCAACTCAAGGGATGACCCAGCATTGTGTCCAACTCAGCAAAGCAGCAGTTTCAAGTGGATCCTTAGGCTCTTTGTTAGCAGCAGTTGGGCCTAAAAAAACACCTCCAGCAGATGAAGAGGATCTGAAAGGAAAGTCCTTAAGAAAGAGGAACAAATCCATCAAAGACCTGAACCAGGAGCTGAGAGATGCATCTGGACCTTCAGCTGGTCATCTCCTGTTGGACCAAGCCTCATCAGAAATGCTCTCCATGGAAGGGGGGCTGTGAAGAAACCATTCTGAAGGAAGGGGAACAGGGAGGAAAGGCTGAGCTCTGCCAAAGGACTCAAGAAGTGGACTGAAAATCCGTGGCAGCAGCTCTGATGGAGGGATGAATCCTCCCCAGAGCTCCACATTATGAAGCAGTGTGGGATCATCTGACAGAGAACGGAGCCAAAGGCAGCCCAAATCCAAAGAAGAGCTTTGGGACGTCCTTCAAGAAGCCTGAAGAGCTGCTCCTGAAGACTCCTTAAAGGAAGGACACACAGCTGCTTGGAGAGGGCTCAGAGATGGAGGAGAAAGGAGCTCAGAGCAGAAATAGAACTTTGAATAGCAGAATGACACAACTAGCATGCACTAGTTTTACCTTATAAACTGTATTTAGTGTAATGTTTGTTCATTAGTATAATGATAGCTAATTATAATTAGTGTAATTTGTATAATGTTTCAGTAATTTCACACTGAGAGACAGTTTCGCTCTATCTGGATATCCACCAAATCATCTGTTTAAAGGCAGAATCAACAGTTCCTGCTTGTAGATGTTCACATTTTTACCTGAGATCTGCAAGAAAGGATATTTAAGGAAGAGTTTTAGAGTACAAACTCTGCTTGTAATGAGTCACTGCATGGATTTATTTGAAATCTAGAAATAAACAAAGTGTGCGTACTGACATTCACATCACTTCCATCACATCGGGCTTTTAAACACCAGCTCCCACTGGGTTTTCTCTTTCAGACCCGAGCGGGATGCAGGCGTGCCATCAGCCAAACGACCCAAAGAGAAATCAGTGCTGTGAAACGGGGTACCCAAAAGCACAACATCAAGGAGGAAGCAGGAGAAAAACTGAGGTAGCGATCATCAGAGAGACCAGACTCAGGAAGCAAATGGTGAGAATGTGTTGTGACGGTAGAGTTCGGCCTCTGAACTGAGCGGCCTCCGTGGTGTCATGGCCCGGCTTTGTGGGATAATCTGTGATTTCAGCTTCTATCCTGACCCCACACACAGCAGAGAGGTGGTCTCAGAGGTGATTGGGTCTCCAGGACAACAGGTGAACAAAGGAGATGGGGGGCTAATGGGAGATGAGATTATGGTCGGTTTGAGGGGGGGGGGGGAAATTTGCCCTTGGCCCCAGTGCGAGGGGCGGTGGGGGGGGGAGGGGGCCGGGGGGGGGGGGGGGGGGGGGGGGGGGGGGGTCATATTGACCTTGGCCTCAGTGCGATGGTCAGATGGGGTGCGAAGGCCACCGGCGGTGAAGGCGGGGGGGAGGGATAAACCAGGAGTGATTAATGACAAAACACACACACACACACACTCAGCTGACCCCAGAGAGGCCGCGGCTCTTTGACATGATCATTTTCCCAACACTTCTGATTGATGAGCGATTCCTTTCCCACCACAAATTATGGTAATAACGCCAAAAGAGACGAGGAGCTGCAGCCCTGCAGCTGCTCCACAAACGACACACCAGTGTGTTTTTTTCTTTTTTCCAAACGGGAGCAACTTTTAAAAAGCTTCAAGAACCCAGAAACTCATTTTAAAGGGAAAAAGAACCAGTCTGTCAGT